ATAAATTTGACACTTTTGAACTTAATTTTGTGTTTTAGTTAATCAATTGACTCCACTATACTTCTGAGTTTTATATAATTGGGAGGATCCTTGATGCATAGGTTCTGTTTTTGCTATTTGTTGAATCTTTCTTGGTTTACTTTATTGTTGATTGCACTTTACATGCTATGCCATAAAAAGTTACTATGGATTTGCTTGCTACCTCATTGGGCCAGAGTTTCTAGTTTGGTTGTGAATTTAATATAATGGGTTTGCTTGCTACCTCATTGGGCCAGAGTTTCTGGTTTGGTTGTGAATTTAATATAATGGGTTTGCTTACTGAAAAAAGGATCTCAATTTGGGGGTTATATTAGATTATAGGGTTATACATTGTCCCCTGCTGTGCAAAACTGGAAGCACATATTATGTTATCATAGGTAGGCGAAACCGGTGCTGAAGGAACAGTAAAAGTTGCCACGAAACGATTTTCATTCAACCATATGCATTGGTTCTTGTTCATTTAGCCATAAGTGATTTGATTTCAAATAGTTGTTTACTTTTCAATTTTGATGCTCGGACCTGGAACAAATGTAATTTTGTATGCTGTCGGATTATATGCATTTTGAGATTTTGTTATTCCCAAAAGGATCAAATTTGAAGAAGAATGTAGGGTCTTCATAATTATCTTCAAGCGTTTTTGTTAAGAATAATATATAATTTGGACATATATTGCTTCTTAATTGTGCATCTTTTCAGTCTCTTTTTTGCAATTTTTTGGTCTTTATTGGTAGTGCTTGTGAATTTAGATGGTGTTATTTTCCCTAGCTATATTGTTTATGCTTTTGCATGATAATCTTTTCTTAATAGGGGGTTCCAATTTGTTTGTGTTTTTGCATATTTTTGTTATATTTGTATAGGTAATTGGAGGCTTGAGCTGAACACTTGGGGAATGAGTTCGATGTAATTGCATGGGTGGCAATGCCACAACTACGAATTGGAGCACGAAGATCAAAACTGCTTGGTGATCTTCATTCTGCCACTTAACCTGTTGATCAAGGGGACGTTGCTACACCAACTCAAAACAGAACTAGAAGGAAAGCTGGTGGTGGAAGGGGAAGGGGCGATGATGAAGCTATAACAATAGGAACTAAGGGGCCGTTTACCAAATACTTACCCGGTAAGTGCTTACCAATAAATTTTAGCACTATTATTTACTTATCGGGTAAGATTTTAGTCCATCAAAACGACATCGCATGCAACAATTTATCCGATCGCTTACCGTGGTAAGAGTCATCGTTCTCACTTACCGGGTAAGACTCTTGGTTCTTGTCTCGCTCTGATCGGGTAATATTCTTGATCCTTACCATATTCATTCGGTTAGATAATATGCATTGGTAAACGCTTACCCGAGTAAGCGTTTGGTAAATTTTAGCACTGTTATTTACTTATCGGCCCCTAAGGCGGCAATACCGATGAGGCCAACTGCCACTCGTAGAGGTTGAGGTGCTAGGTTGATTTGGAACCAGAACCATCCTGTGATAAAGATGTTGCCATGTAGGGGGGGAGTGCTGATGAAATAATGGAGCTGAAGAGAAAGGAAAGACAACTCCACCACCTGAGAGGGTATATTATTTTTTTGAGATTCATTATTCTTTGATTGATTTTATTATTGGAAATTTTAACATTTGGTCATTATGAGTCTCACATTTGCAAACAAGTAGACTTATTTAACATGTTTCCGTTGTATCATTCTTTTTAGTGTTAATTTGTGTTCTTCCTATAAAAGACAAAGTAACATGTGTATTGCTTTGATGCAGGTACAAGTCGGTAATTCTCCTTCACATAAGCCAACGAAACTCCGGTACTTGATAACTACTTTTTTGTTCTACCATTTTATCATTTGAGGTTCTACTTTTATAGGTAGCATTAAAGTTTTAGCACCATTTTTACCCAATGCTTACCTGATAAGCACTTGGCAGTAAGTCAATATTTTCACTTAGGGGCCATTTATCAAACACTTACTCGGTAAGCGTTTACTAGGTAAATTTTAACACTATCATTTACTTACCTGGTAAGATTTTAGTCAATCAAAAATGTATTGTATGCAACAATTTACTCGGTAAATACTTACCGTGATAAGAGTTATCGCTTTCACTTACCGGGTAAGAGTCTTGGTCTTGGTCTCGCTCTTACCGGGTAAGATTCCTGGTCCTTATCATATTCATTTGGTAAAGTAATTTAACTTGTTCACTTGTCCGAGTAAGCGTTTGGTAAAATGCCCCTTAGCTTACCGTTAAGAATTAGTCTACTAAAACAACATTGGATCGAGTCTATTAAAATAATTTTGGCCTTTTCAAACGACGGGCTGTTTTATTAAAAATATGGTTATGGTTAATGGAGCAATGAGAATTTTTATCAAGTGATCAAACAACCTTGTCTTTAACCAAGGATAGGTATGGTTTGGAAATCATTTGTGATGTAAGGTGCACGTGTCCAGGTTTCGATGGACGGTTTTGTAGCGAGAAAAGGTTGTTGTGTTAGCAAAAAGATATTAGTATAGAATAGCCGATGCCATCAAATCTTCTGTGATGATAAGTATCTCAATTTAATTTGATTGGTCTATGCTTCTCATTGTGTTCACTTTGAAAAAAGATATACTTGAATTTGATGTACATTGGTTGCGTTTTGTTTCTATTGGTCTGCTGCCAAAAAAAAGGTCGTTGTGCTATTAGATTAGCACCCCTGTTGGTTCAAAAACAAAACATATATTAGCATCAATGTACACATATTTTTTGTATTGATTTTAGAATTGTTTGTTTGTGTCATACATCACCAGGTTGAAGGGATTGAAGAGATCTTGAAACCTTCACGGTGTGAAAGTGATGGATCATCAACTTGAATTGCCGGCAAAAGGTGAAGAAAACAAAAGCAGAAACTGTGCCAGCAACATCAAGCAGAACGACTGGTCGTGGAGTAAGGAGGCAATTGGCGATGTTAATGAATTGAAAACTACGATAGTTTCCAGCACCAGAAAGAAGGCCCCGACTACTTCTTGTGGCAATGTGGGGAGTCAACTGAATGAGTGTGAAGAAGTCGCAAAAAACGACTCTTTGGTGGAACATAAGACGAAGTGCATACCAAATATACTGTAGTAGTTGCAATATATAGCTGAGGGAAAGGCACCACAACATGAAATCAAGACACTGTTAAAAAGGAGACTATTGTTCAGAAAGTGTACAGCACAAGAAGATCAACAAGGCTAACTGCAAAGAAATCTGCAGAGCCAAGTGCGATGGAGAGGGAAAAGAGTGAATCTATGAAGATTGATTCGTTTTTGGATCCGAATTTAATTTTGTGATTTAATTTTGTGTATATCTCCTTGTCTTTGAGGCGGGTTAAGGGAAGGGGGAGATGATGATGGCATTTTGTTCCTTGTTTTGTTTTCATATTCTTGTGATTTTGAATTGTAAGAGCTTTTTTTATGCCACCTTGTGTACTTTTTCAGTTTAATGTAATATTTTTGTGCATCTATCTAATTAAATAATAGAAATAATCATTGTAACTTACGATCACACTCTTGGTGTTTTCATAGTTTCTTGCAACATCCATTTATTTATGCAAGTGTTACTCTCTCCAGTCTCCGGTAGGAAGATAAAAGTTACCCGATTGGTAACGGTCTTACCTGGTAACTAGATAAATCTTACCCGATAAGTTAATGAAAGCGTTGACTCTCACTGGTAAGTGATTGCTGGGTAAGAGTTGGGTAAACATCTCCATAAATTAGTTTTTTATTTAGTCAAAAAAAATAAACTTTTTCTCAATTGATGAAAAAGAGTTTTAATTTTTTTTTTATATTGTACTTATTTTGATTGGTTGCCATGTGAAAGAGAGTACTTACTTGAAGAATTATGGTTATGGGATATAAAAAATGATATGTCATTCTAAAGATACTAATGCCAGAAAACCAACTATGGGCTAAAAGAAGATTAAAATACTAGAAGTTTGTTTGGAATGCATGATATGTATGTATATCTACTAAACTATTTGCATCTGTGTATTTGTTTGTGTTGTTAATGCTTTGATGCACATTTTCAAAGGGTGTAGATCATCCTATTTGATTGATTGTTCATTTAAAGTGTTTTAGCCTTTCAAGTTCTTTTAATTGTGGAAGGTTCTCCTCCAAATACAACCAGGATAATTAAATATCTATATTAGAAGATCATCATGTTATAAGATCTCCTCTAACAAAACCACGAAAGCTTCAAAATTGTTTACATTCACGCCTCCTACGGTCCCGCCGCATTGCGCGGGTTCACAACTAGTTTATATAAAATGTGGAAATTATTTTGCATTTAAAAACGTGTATTAATCCATAAAATAACTACCATGAATCAAGGTTAAATGAATCGACAAGGTCAAGCCTCTAGCTTAGGAACCACGGTGAGATCATGAGATTTTTCAAAACATAATTTATGACGACAAATATGCATATATATATATATACATATATCTTTACTATTACTCAATGAGCCACTTAGTGTTTCTTTTAAATTAGGTCTTGCATAACAGATCTCGCGACTTATTTTTTTAAGCTGCTGAGTTTGTACGACCTCTATTAATAGACTAAAAAACTTGAATTATGAGGCCCAAAAAGAAAAATACTTCACCAACAAATATTTTTTTAAGCTGCTGAGCTTGTAAAATCTCTATTAATTCCAAAACCTAAAAATAACAGTCATGAAAATTCTGAGGGGACTCGAAGAAGTTCCAAGGTCTTAATAGTTTTGTGCTAACCCTATCCCTCAAAATTGATAGTTTGATACTCCAAGTGTAATTAATTAAAGATCTACAACTTTTATAAAAAAAATGTGCAACTTTTTTTCACATCTGGGTAAAAGGTTGATTAGTAGAATCGAACCCATGTGTAGTCTTTGTATTGTATGTACATATTAAGATATTATATTATATTATTCCATTTATAAAATTGTTCCATATGTAACACTACCTTTAATTTTTCATTCGGGAAAACATGTACTTGTTGTGTAACTATATTATCGACCGCAGAAAAGTTACTATGGCTTTACATAATTATAATACTCCCCAAGAAAATACGCCTTTCGGTTCAATCCACAATCAAAGTCGAATGGCTAATTTATAACCCGACAACCCTTCTTTTGCCTTCCCACGCTACGGACAGAAAGCAAAGTAGAAAAGCAACCCTGCATAGAAGTCCCCCTTTTCGGCTTCAAACCATCTTTGTTCAACCCCATTTCACCATCTTTCTTGGGTGGTTCATCGATTTCCTCAACCTTTTCTCTTAGGCTTTCTTTAAAAAGGTCCAAAAGTCTCATCTTTTTTTCGGTTGGAGTTGGAGATGGAGATGGCTCAAGTGTTGAACCATGAACTAAGTTGTTGTCCGGGGGGATGGCTATGGCTCTTCCGTTAGATTGTGGGGTTCCTACGGTTAAGCTATGGTGTACCGGCGTATTGCCTCTCGATGGGGTAAATTCTGCATAGGTTGCAAGAAAATGTAAACACAAAACAAAGCCCTTACGTGTTCGATAATAATCATTGAGTCCTCCTCTTTCAGGAGGACACTTTCCAAGAGATGGAATAGAATAACCCGGTTGAAGCTGTATATACTATTGAGATTCACAATATATAATAAAAATTCTAGCAACGATTGACTTGTTGAACCATATAACCATCGTATACTTGATTATTTGTTTGGAATAATTGCAAAAATAACCAAAATTGGAGATGACCCGTCACAAAAACACCAACTTTTTTCAAAATTAACAGAAAATAACCACCTATTTTGCAAAAAAAAAGAAGAGAAAACCCTTTTTCAAGTTTTGTCGGCCCATCTCGGAAAAAAAAAGAGAACCAAAACCTTTTCTTTGCGAAACATACCTTTTTCAAGTTTTGTCAGCCCATCTCGCATAAGGGACATCAAAACCCTCATTTTTGCAAATTAGGGGTTTCGCTCATGGTTTTTGAAGAGAAGACCACAAAGCGAATAAAATATGTCGAAAAGTGGTAAAGAAACGGGTTTATCTGAAACAGGTGGTTATTTTGTGCTAATTTAAAAAAAGTGGTCATTTTTTTCGGGATAACTGCGGGTTTTCAGGTCAGCTTACGCGCACCGACTAGTCCTCCAGGCGACCACAAATGGCGTTGAGTCATCGCAAGTGAACCTCCAGGCTACAAGGGATTTGACAACGCCTAGATTCGAACCCGAGGTAGATGATATTTTCCACCACAACCCACGTGGTTAATTAAAAGTGGTCATTTTGTGACGGGTACACTCCAATTTTGGTTATTTTTGTGATAATCCCTTATTTATTTCTTAGAACTATCATCGGGGTACTCGAAATGAAATGAAAGGTAGGCTTTTAGTTTTTAAGAATCAATGATGATGTTACTTACCACCATTAACACTCATAAAGTCATCTTCATAATCTGAATCTAACCATGCTTGGGAGTCAAAGAAGGTCTCCTCTTTACTGCCTGCAAATGCAAAATAACACATTCATTAAAGATCCAAATAGAGATAAAAAGACATTAGCTTCCATTATTGAGCCCATAAAGAATCAATGCACTCAAGATCTTGCCTTTTGATTATATGTATGCAATCAAAATCAAAATCAACATAAACATAGTTTATCCCAAGCAAATAACATTAGTCATTAACACATTTATGTTTGTGGCCCAGTCTGCATAAATCTCATGTCCCTTTCTGTCCACCAATTACGTGAAACCACATCATCACTTTGTTGACAAGAAAGAAAAAAAATGAATTAAATAAATTTATATTTGAGCAAAAACACAGCAACCCCAACCACCGGACTCACATGAAACCTGCCCACTATATAAGAACTACATGTGAGGAGGTATTTCAAAGTTGATTTTTATTCTAGCAAATGACCTTTCACTCTTATTCTCCATGTTTGTTTGCTAGCAAAGTACATGAAAACCAGCAAACAAAACCAGCAAAGCATGACATACCTACCAATTATATTATGATCTAGAGGAAGAAATGATCAAACCTAAACAAATAATATGACCCAAACAGATGTGAAAGAGAGTCAATTTACAACAATTTTGATTGAATTATTGTATAAAACATGATGAATTGATACTCTTAAAGATATATGAAACCCCTTTAAATTTCTTTTTATAGGAGCATGTCTAGCTGATATATGACTCTATCGTATGTATAATAAATAAATAATATAATAATTCAACTTAGGAAATAAAGAAAAAACTAATATCCTCAAAAGAACTCCAAGAAGGACCTCCCTTTGACAAAATGAATAAATAACATCACCATATTTTACATAATATATAAAATAACATTGCGAATCAAGTACACAAAGGTAGCATAATCATGAGAATCACAAGTTATTACATAAAAGCTTTAAGATCATTAGACGTCAAGTGTAATCAACTCAAAATCAGAACCCAGAAATTGAATCAATCAAGGAGTTAGGAACTGAAATCGCCATCAAGTATTCGAATAAACAATGATTTAAACACACCCACACATTGAATTAAGCAACTAATTGCAGAAATCAAAGCTACGAATCAAACAAAATCGGAATCCCTATCAATAAACCCAATATTCATGAAGTAAATTAGAGCTATGAACAAAATTATAAAACAGAACACTGAAAAAGCATCAAAACTAGAGCAATAATTGAACAAAACCAACAAAAAATGGAAAATAGATTATACGAAAGTAAAATATACCATAATCGGAGAAAGCAGGCGGCGACTGAGATGGGGGCAACTGAGGTTTAACAGCAACATGGCCATTCACCATCGGAAGTTTACCGCTCATTGGGGAAGATTGAATCACTAACTTATGATCTGGTTTTGAAGAATCAAACGACACTTGCACCTTCATTGCAGAAGCCTTATGATGAATCGACACACAAGCACCCATTTGTTCTTCGAAATCAACCGACAACGATTGTTCTTCCCACCCACCACCCAGATGCTTTTGGGGAAGAAAAGTATGAGTGGATTGTGGAATCAATTAAGAGGGAAATTTGTTCGAGTGGAAAGAAGGATCCGGAGAGAGGGGGAAATGGGAACTATTTGTAATGCGATCAAGAAGATGATCAAATTTGGAATGTTTTTATATGATTTGATCAATATTTGTAAACTTGATATTTTCTTTGATCATAACCAAGAGTCAAATTGTAACCACTTCTTCACATTAAAATATTTACATATCATTGCATGTTTTTGCATGACACATTTTTTTATATCGACATAACATATATCATATCTACTTGTGAGAAAAATAGTTATAGTAAGAAGCGTTGTACTTGCTTCAGTGCGTTTTATCTCATTGCATCTTTATCTTAATATGCATTCAAGGATGATGATTTCTTCTTACGTTTTTCACCATAACTCAACCATATATATATATATATATATATATAATAAGCAAAGGATCATGTGAAAAGAAAAATTACGATGAAAAATGTAAGAAGAGATTTAGACTCTTGATCACTTTTAATCTCATGTTCATCCATGAATTGCACTTTAGAAGTAAATTGATCTGGTGCATCTTGTTGCATTTCATTAAAATTGATATTCAACTAGGGTTAATTCAAGGGTAGAGATCTCTTCTTACGCTTCTCACAATAACTTTATTTCTCATCGAAACTCAACCTTATATATATATATGTATGTGTGAGAGAGATTAAATAATATAAAATATATGCAATAAAAAAAAATCAACTCGACACTTGAAATATACATAAAAATATAGAGGTGGTTTCATTACAAACTTAACCACGAGTATAAATCATGCAAACCACTATATTTATATGTTTATGAAAATGATGAGTGTCCATTTCTTATGACTATATATTTATGGAAGATTATCATAATTTGTTTATTATGATCAAAATTTTATATTAAAAAACAACCTGTAAAATCGGATATTCATTAAACTAGATGGACGATTAAAATTAGGTTTATATAATTTGTATAACTATGATGGTTTGTAAATGACCTGCTCTCAAAAAAAAAAAAATACTTTGTTTATATTAATCAGTAAAATATGGTTTTTATATTAATGTTTTAATTAATTGTAAATAAAAATATAACTAACTTTGGTGGTTAAATATTAAATCGCATACCAACTAATGTGTTGTTAACGAAAGAACCACGTATTCTTACGTGCCATTTTTTTATGTTAAACATTATTTTTTATGGATTTTTCTATTTAAAAAGAGATTTTGGAAGGTGGTAGAGCCTTAAATACCAACCACTAAACTAAAAAAAAATATGAAAGACGACGTAATTTGAATAAAAACACTTTTAGTTATGTTTAAAGATATAATCTTACGTCTTACTTAAAAAATTAATTTTTATTGGAAAAATGTAATAAATTACCCGAGTTGATATGATCGACTTTTTCCAAGTCAAACCACATTGACCTTTTTACATGATCAATCTGTGATTTTACGAGACTTTGATCCACTTTAAACGTACACCTCTGGAGCAAACATCATGAACCCACTGCTCTCCCCATATTCCTACTCCTCTATTTTAACCATATGATATCCCTTAATATGTGATGAAACTCAAAACGAACCTTCCTTTGTATCATTTTGATTTTGTTACAACTTTCATTTTTGTGTATATATATATATATATATATTTCGTTTAGATTTGTTATTTAAAATGGAGAAAGTAATACATGTTATAATTGGTTTGTACTTTCCATTTGTAAATATTTCTTTTTTTCGACATTTTCCTTGATCAATTCATCATGTTTATTAAATATCCCTTGTTGACCAATTCGTCATGTTTTTATCCAAATTCTATTGAATTCCTCGTCTCTTCCATCCCCTTGCTTCCTAAAACTCTTTTATTATCCCTCCCAATACAAACCATGGATATATATATATATATATATATATATATATATATATATATATATATATATATANATATATATATATATATATATATATATATATATATATATATATATATATATATATATGTTAAATGAAAATCTCTCTTTTTGTTTTCATATCAACCAATCGTTTGAATACATATATTATTTTACTTTATTGATTACCAGGAACAAAATAAACCAGTAAAAAAATTTATATTATCATTGTTGCGAAAAAGCGTGCTACGTGTGCCCGACTCATCTTCATCTTTGATTCATTTTGTTCATGTTTGTTCGATTTGTAGTCTTAATCTCCATCTCTATTTGATATATTTCATTTGTTCGATTTTGCAACATTCCTCTCTAACTTGGTTGCGTTGATGGAGTTTAGAAAAAAATATGAGAGATCACTAATGTTTTTTGGGGTTTAGGTTTAGAGAAAAACCATAAAAAAATGAAGAACGAGTTTTTTTTTTTTTTACTTCCTTCTCTTTGCGTCCCTTTTCTTTGTAAAAAAGTTTCGAGAACACAACGTTAAGTGTTGTTTTTAGTGTTCAATAGACCCATAATTTTTAGCGATTGAGTTGGAGATGTCCTGATTGTTATTTTTTAAGACAAATTTAGCGTAAAACCCTTGCCATTCTTGAAAAATGAAGTTGGTTTTCCTTTGAAACTGAATAACCGTCGATCAAGAATCCCTTTTATTTAGAAGTAGTGATTTGTTGGCAACCCTTTGATCAAGAAATCTTGAAGATCATTATTACTTTCCAATAAAAGAAGGAGGTTTGAGTTTGACTGAATTGCAAATAAAATGCTGAGGTTTGGTAACGCCGTCACCACCAATATCAATCCTAGGGCATTTCGTTGCGTATTTCTCTCCACCACCACACCCAAGTTCTGCAATTCGCCCATCACTGATATCGGAATCTCCTCCAAATTTCCAATAATGTCGATGGCGGTTGCAGCCAAGATAGCACCGTCGATGCTATCATCAGACTTCGCCAATCTGGCATCAGAGGCCGACCGCATGCTTAGATCCGGCGCCGATTGGCTTCACATGGACATCATGGTACCACTCTGATCTCTCTTTCTTCTCCACTATTTTACCCAAATTCTATTAATCTTTTCGCAATTACACTTTTGCAAGTTCTTACGAAGAACCGTCTAATTCAGTATTTTCTGCTTTTTGTTGCGATTTTCTCGAAAGGGGTTGGATATGAAATTATGTAAGATTGCAACTCTTGACCTAAATATATTGATGAGAAACTTAAGGTCCATTTGTTAGCAACTTAATAAGGTTAACGGGACTCCTAGGCTTATTCAATCAGCTATATTGTATGGTAGTGGCCTAATAATATAGAAAGTGGTTTATCTAGTAAGCTTTCAGGAGGAAGCTTTATGCAGAAAGCGAAAAAGATGGACGTCCCAATTAAAAAAAGCCCTTTCCAAGTTCCATATATGAAAATCCCTCCCAAATAAAAACTTTTTTAATATATAAATACAGATCAATCTACACATACAACTTTATCCATGCATGATATAATAGAAAACCAACCAAACGGCCCCTTAATCTTACTCGCCAATGATATTTAGGTTCTTATTATTCAGAATCCCCACAAAATGAAATTGGATAAAATCTACCAGGAATTCCGTTCACAATAGCCGATTGACCCTCCTCACTTTATAGCCACCTTTTGAACTTAGTGACTGAAATAGACAGAGTTACCCCAGTGGCACTTAATTCAACTTGCATAATGTCTACTTTTTCTGAATATCATATTGAAAAAAGTGGGTTATCGCAGGTTGCGTAAATTCTAGTTGCATAACCTCGGCTATTTCGGTCAATAAGTTGAGATGATGGCTATAAGTGAACAGGGGGTGTCGGAACAGGATGGCTATTTTGGACAATTTCCCGGTAAATGTAAATCCCACTCGAAAATACAAACAATTGCTAAGCATGTTGGGTTTTGGTGAATGCTTTTGGGTTCCTTGCTCCATTTTTTGGCGTCGAATGCATATCAGATTCACGGCCATATGGAGAAATCTGTATCCAATAACTAACTACGCATAGGATGTCATGGAGGATAATTGGGGATAGGGGAAGAGTAGTTTATGGAACTCTCAAGAAAGGCTATGAACATACAACTCACTACTCATATTTTTTATTTTGATCACTTAGGATTTCTCCAAGTCGGTTAGTTAACCGGTTGTTTTTGGTGAATTTGCAGGATGGGTAGGTCCTAGACTCAGCTATAAACCTTGTTTTTGGTAACCATGGGTCTAGGGGCCAGTTTTTGCTTACCTTGACTAATTCCATGGGGTCCTGAAGATAACAACCACGAAAATCCCCAAGGAGATTTGAACTGCTGACCTATGGGGAGGACCCCATAAGATCTCGTTTTTATTTGCCGGTTGAGTTGGCCCTTAGGGTGCGTTTGGTATCCATATATAACAGGGGACAGAAGAGACAGAACAGGACAAAAGAGTTTTTCAACGTTTGGTAAGACAGAACTGGATAGAACAAAACAGGTAAAATGACCAATTTGCCTCAAATGAGTTTTTATATCTTTCATATATTTTGATTAATTCATGTAAATATTAAATTATAATAAAATGAATGTTTTTAATAACAAAATATATCATTAGAAAGTTCCGTCAAGAAGTTAAAATGAGACCAAAATAAATAGTTTATGCAGTTTCCAAATTTTATTTTATACCTTTTCTATATTATTTTTTTATTATTAATAATTATAAATGACATAAATTGACCAAAGTATAGAAGCTGTATAAAAACAATATTTTGAGGACAATAAAGTGAAAGTTAAAAGAGCATAAAGTGTAATAAATAAAATTTAAAGAATGGATAAAATGTAAAGATAGAGGCGTATTTTGATGTTTTAGAAGAGAATTAAATTTTATTTTGAGGGTATGTTTAATAAAATATAGGATTATCCCCCTTGTTCCATGGAGTGGGGGTGGAACTCACTTGTTCCACTATGTTCCGAATAGAAGTCCTGCCAAACGTTAAAATGTGATTTTTGTTCTGATCTGTCCTATCCAGTGTACCAAACGCACCCTTAAGGTGTATCCTTATAAGATATTACAAGATGTTCGATTTTTAGCAATATGTATGGCCATTTGTGCTGACGTCCTTCGTTTTCTGCAGTCACTTTGTACCAAATCTTACGATTGGTGCTCCGGTCATTGCGAGTTTAAGAAAACATACCAAGTAAACCCTTCATTTATTCAACGTGAGCTTCCAACTTCGCAACTTATTCATCATGAATAAGCTTTTCTTTTCTGGTTATGCAGGGGTTATTTGGATTGCCACCTTATGGTCACAAACCCTCTTGATTATGTGGAACCATTCGGAAAAGCTGGTGCTTCAGGTTTTACTTTTCATGTGGAGGTGTCCAAAGGTCCGACAATGTCTGTTTGGAATACCGTCACAACAGAATTGGTTTTATAGGACGCCAAATATATCTAAATGTTCTAATAGACTACTTTATGGGATTGAACAATTGTGCACCCCATGTAAAGGTGTTACAATAAGTTGATAGGGCGCTTTTGGGCGTCCTAAGACGTTCTTAGGACAACTTTTGAAATAAAGTGTCATATTAGTCTTTTTATATGACATTATTTGAAAAAATTTCTTATAAAAGCAAGTGTCCTATAAAAAAAAGTTAGTACGACACTTAATTTAAAAAACGTCTTAAAAAACTTGTTAGGATGCTCAAATACGTTATGTTATCCTACAATAATATCTTTATACACGATTCACAATTGTTTGGTTTTATAAACTTAAGTCCTATGATGCAGCCTATTAGGACATTTAGGGCCTGAACATATTCGGAGCATAACGAGCTTAATGAGACTCACAACTTATTCGGTCAACTATACATGATTGTTTGGTAATGGCTTGATGATTTAGAAAGTAGCTTATTCAGTAAGCTATGAGGCTTCATGCAAAAAGCAAGTTTTTTTCCGAAACCCCTCTCCCAATTAAAGGACACGTTCATTCCGTCTATGAAAAAACCTCTCAAACAAAATCTTCTCAATCTATACAGACAAATTCATCCACACAGACAACTTTGTCCATACAAGACTTGATGAAAAACCAACTAAACATCCCCTTAGATCTTTCACATCATATAGAAGCCGATTTTGTTGTAGTGTACCATTTTACATTTTTAGTTCCAAAAGCTAAAGCTCTATTTCGTTTAGTAAAGCATCTTAAAGAACTTGTTAATTGTTGCAGATAATTGGCAAGAACTCGTTCATCAAATTAAAGCCAAGGGCATGCGGCCTGGTGTGGCATTAAAGCCAGGAACCCCCATTGAAGAAGTGTATTCGCTGGTGTGAATAATCTGGCTCCTAAAACCTTATCTATCTAATAATAAAATTAGTGTTACTATTTAATATCTCGAGCCAATTTGCATTATTATGTAGCTGTTGAATGATTCTACACAAAATTGTTTTGGTCGTGAATGTTTTTCTTTTTGCGATGCATAGCTTCAAGGTGAACATCGTGTGGAGATGGTTCTTGTTATGACCGTTGAACCTGGATTTGGTGGACAAAAGTTCATGTCAGAAATGATGAATAAGGTACACGAGGATGTTAATATTGCTGCTTCACATATGAATACATTTTGGTGTTGTAACTGATTTTATTAACCGTTGATTCTGTTTTTAGGTACGCACACTGAGAGAAAAGTTTCCAACACTCGATATAGAGGTTAGTTGTTCTATTCTATTTACATAATTTGTTGAATTCCGAAATTCTCCTACACACGTCATTCTTTAGGATTTATTGATGCTACCTAGACCCTACTTTTCAATGAGATATACTAGGTTCGTTTGGTTTGAGTAGTCTTGCTGTTTGTGTGGGGTTCATGGCGTATGCGAGTGAACGAGAATTTACGTAAATGGTGATGCAATGAAGTGATTAGGATGCATTATTGAAGTCGGGATCCATTGTAACTGTTGGAGTCCTGTATTGGCCAGACTTTGATCATTCTTCTCGCTATATATCAGAAGGTCCCTTTTCTCCTCAAAAAGTACTCTTTGGAGTATAATCTAATGGAGGTTCCACATAACACATTCTCACATGGTATCAGAGCCTATGTCTACCACTATAGGGAAATCGGTACTCTTCTAGTCCCCTTTCGACACTCTTGGGATGAAGTGTACCTGTCTAGCCTCCGTTGGCAGGGCGTGTTAGAGTCCATGTCGGCTAAACCTTGTTGAAATTTATGTGTCTCTCTCTCTCTCTCTCTCTCTCTCTATATATATATATATATATAGTCCTATTCTTTTACAAACCCAATAATTCGTACAAATTTACAAACTAGTTTTCATGTGACAACACGTGTGGCACAGTGTTTACACAGCGTTGTTTCATATGTTTAATTTTCACGACTGTTTTGCAGTTTCATGAGGATCATGTTTACATTTATGATGCATTGCAGGTAGATGGAGGTTTAGGGCCTTCAACTATTGATGATGCATCTAGAGCGGGGGCAAACTGCATCGTTGCAGGCAGTTCGGTGTTTGGAGCCGCCGACCCGGCTGAGGTTATATCATTGTTAAGGAAAAGTGTCGTTGAGGCGCAGAAATGTAGTTGAAATTTACGCATTTTAGTATGTAGACTACTGTTGTTGTCATCAATCTCTGAAACACATTAAACTTGTACGAATTGTATGGGTACACCTTCAAATCGAGCCAAACCCAACGAATCCAGTAAAATATCATGTAGAGTTAAGACGGGCGAACCTAAACAGAGGCACAGTGTCACCGCTTCCTGGTTGTGTCAGTAGTGGAAAAGAATTACATTATTGAAGGGTGAGAACGTAATGTTTGTTGCGTGTCTCTATATTTCTTATAATGGTTTGTAAAAATTCTATAGGTTTTGTTTTTATGGTCAAATGGTGTTACTTTTTAAAAGAAATCTCGGCCAAGGTTTAGGGTCTTTTAATAAATGTTTAATGGGTCATTTATCTTATAGGATGAGCATGATAAAGACCGATAATTGTAACTAGTAAGAGGGCATGACAACGACCGAGGTTTTGCGTGGTAAGTGAGGGAGAAACTTTTACCTGGTTAGCGCTTATTGTTGAGACGGTGATAAACAATCTATTTTAATGGCCAAGAATATTACCTGACTAGTTAAGTGATGATGGTTACTGATGTTAGTAAGCATTTATTCGGTAAGCATTTGACAAACAACTATTTAAAAAGTTGTTTGGTGCTAGTAGTGTTATTCATGTTTAAACTAGATTTAGAATGTAGGATTGCATCAAAGCGCTTAACTTTATAAAGGTAAAACTTTACGGTGTTTTTGTTGTTTTTATATCCTCATGATGTTGATGTTTTACTGTGAAGATTCAATGTTAATTTTGTGATCTGAAACCCAATCTTATGATTTTATAATATGAGTTGAATCTCATAGAGAACTTTATTCTCATATTTTTGTGATTGTGTATAAGTAATGATGTTATGTTATATGTAATTGTGTGTTGGGATCTGTTTAGCTTTAAGCCGGATCAATGTGCAGCATGTGTTGTCACGTGTAGATTCATCTCCTTGTACCCATGTCTCTCCATTCTTAACAATGTTGTTCAATTATGAGTCAATAAAAACAACTTTTTTTAATTTTACATTATTTAATTTAATTTTTGTCGTCTAAAATCACCCACCACCATCTCCTTTTTTAAATCATATTTCATATAACCATAAATTTATTTATTTGTTAGACAAGTCTCAAAATGTCAATTTCATTAGACTTTTTCTTTGATACTATGTAAGAATATGTAGAACTCAGGACTTACGTTCTAAAACAGAGAATGAAAGATCAATATATATTTCGAAGTCATGCTTTTTATAATTTTCCAGTTGTTTCTTTAACATGTTTTTTTAAATTATCATCTACCTTATCAGCTAGTCTTTATCAAAATTTAAACATTATTAATTTATCAGCTAACAATTAATTTATTAGAGCACTTCTTATAAGAACCCCTTTTCTTGTAGTGTCATCTTCAACTCACATAATTAATTAAGAACTTATATATAATAGTTATTATAAGAATAAGAACTTCTCTTCTGGTCCTATGTATTTTTGCAGCATCAGTAATTATTATATAAAAACTTCTTTTCGTATTATTAAGTCATTACCAAAAAATCTTATACAACTGACTGACAGAATAAACTGTAATTCCTACTAACAATGGTTTTAAGTGTCCATTTAAACAATGGTGTGGCCCCAAAATCCAACTTTTTGCTCTGGATTCCACTCTTCAACCATCTCGATGAATATGCTATGCATGTGGAGCATTCATCCCCTTTTTATTTTGATTATAAATCATTATAGAAAACCAAACCCACGATTCTTGGCCTTCCAACATTTGGGGATTAGGGTTTTTCTAACACTATATTACCACATAACCAAGTGCCAACATCCATTGCAACTCAACAATCTTCAAACTAATTTCACCAATTTTATATCATCGATATGAATCCCAAAATGAGGGCAATTCGGGTTTATATCGCAGTTAGCATGCTTGCTTTCGTTATATGCATTGTGGTTGCGGCATCTGTGTTTTACGTGATCGTATGCAAGAGGAGGAAGAAGAAGAAGAAGATGAAGCCGAAGCATTGTTTATCGTGCAACAGAAGTGTCGATTTGGAGCTCCAACAATTGAGTTTAAGTGTCCGAACTGCGAGCGAAAAGAAAGTCTCGTTCGAATCCTCGTCCCAGATGGAATCTTTGGACGACCATATCCTCCCCACCACCCCACGGAAGGTGGCGGCAATGGTGGTGGAGAGCTATACGGTGGAGGAGCTGAGAGTAGCCACCACTGAGTTCTCCTCCACCAATTTGATCGAGGGATCTGTGTATCATGGCCGCCTCAAAGGAAAAGACGTGGCGGTCAAATGCACAAGTCCCGATACCATCTCCAAGATCAAGTTCGAGCTCTTTCAGAGCCCGAATCGTTTCCACTCGAACATAATCCGACTGCTGGGATTTTGTATGGGAGACGGTACTATCACAAACACGATAGCCACCCACGATGAGTTTTTGGTGTTCGAATACGCCAAAAACGGATCTTTAAAAGATTGGATTCATGGCGGTTTAGCGATGAAGAGCCATTTCATTGCTTCGTGTTCTTGTTTCTTGACTTGGAACCAAAGGCTAAATATTTGTTTGGACGTAGCAAATGCGTTACAATATATGCATCAAGTACTGAACCCGAGTTACGTTCATAGGAACATGAAGAGCCGGAATATCTTTCTAGACGAGGAATTTCATGCCAAAGTTGGTAACTTTGGCATGGAAGAATGTGTTCGATATCAGAATTATCCCGAAGAAGTACCTGCTTCGGGATATCTGTATTCAACTTATCCTTCATCTTGGGACGAAGGGTACATTGCGCCCGAATATTCAAATTCGGGCGCCATTAGTCCAAGCATGGATATTTACGCTTTTGGGATTGTTTTGCTCGAAATACTATCGGGAAAACCGCCTATTAGGAGGGGTAAATCGGAGAGTAAAGACGACGGTTGTCGGTTATCGGAAAGAATCAAGCATATTCTCAACTCCGGTATCGTGGCGGAGAAAGTGAGGGAATGGATGGATAACGCGTTGGGTGAGAATTATCCGTTTGAGGTGGCGATGAAGTTGGTGAATCTTGCGAGAGAGTGTGTGGATGACGATCCATCGTTGCGGCCGACGGCCGGAGAAGTGGTGGTGAAGCTGACGGAATTGGTGGCGGAGGGCGAGGAGGAGCAAGTGATCGTTCGGGAAAGCTCCTGTAGACCTCTAGTAGCCCAGCCATTTGCAATTAAGGATGTAAATGATTTTTAATTGTATTTTGTTATGATATCTAAAATCAGTATTGGGATATTTAAATATATATGATATTGAACGAGCTTTTACTCTTTTTTTCGTGGTTATTATTTCTTTAGTTATGTCATAAGGTTATAAATTTAAAGGGATTGTTTGGCGGTTACAGAATGATTTGATTCATTATAATTAAGAACTTTTTATAATATAGTATAACATGAAATGTAATTGTTCGGTAATTGTTTACAATGAAATTAGGGTGCTGAATGTTTAAGGGAGACCTATAATACAAAATTATTTAAAGAGTTTTAGAATTATAAAGATATAGACTTTTTTTTTGTCAAACAAGATTTATCTTTTAACGATTCATAAACTGACTCTTAATAGAATTATTAAGAGGTAAACAAACGACTCATAAATAAAAACTCATTTAAGATCATATCTCTGATTCATCCATACTTTTGTTTAACTAGACTTGTTCTTCTTTACTTTGATATATGTTGAAATATTCCCTCTCTATATAAAAGGTTTTAGCATTTTAATGTAACACCAGTAATTTAGTAATGTATAAATCTTGTTACATTTTATTGATTTTTACCAGACTACAAGGGTAGACTAGTCTATTTGCAACAAGAGCTTATTAATCTGACTAGTTGTTAAGTTTTTGTTAGCGGTTTGTTAGTCTTCTGTAATTCTGAGTATAAATAAAAATACTCTTTTAATTCAATCAATCAACGAAATTGCTCCCCACTTTTCTTCTATAGTTCGTGATATGGTATCAGAGTATAAATAAAGTTTTGTTCCACTTATTTGAATGACAAAATGTATCTTATTCTCTTTTAGATATACCTACCAAATAAATATTTAAATATTAAAAGAGTACATGTTTAAAAATAACATTTGACCAATCGTTCCGCCCCTGGGTCTGGGTGTGTGATATATTATAAAACGTTGTTTGAGTTGTACCTTTTCATTGGTTTGGAAGGTTGACCATGTTTTGTTGCAACTTGTAAGAAAGGGCAGGCAGTTGCAATCTCAAATCCAATATTATTTTTCGTCACGTTAACAAGACCAGGTTTTATTACTCCAATTTTTATTTTCAATAAAACACGTTTCTAGAAAACAACCGGTTGCATACATAGTTATAAAGACCGTATAATTATATACATTGGTGTTTTTTAATTGTTATATTTTATTTTGAATATTTAACATAAATTTATCACATTGTAATTGTAAATTTTCTATTTTTAGAAACCTAATAAAACTTTCCATATTAAAATGATTAACATTTAAAATTCTTTTAAATAAATAAATTATTGAACTTTCCCAATTTTTAATGATTAAATCTTAAACATTTTTTCTAATAAATTTTATACCAAATTTTAGAAATTGATTACCTTTATTCTTTTAACCAAAAAAATTAGTTATACTTTTTCAAACCATTGGCACCCAACGCTATCGCTCGCTATCGCCACTGCTGTCATTTACCTTTTTTTTTTTTTTTTTTATGTGTACTCATTCTACATTGTAGGAAAAAAAAAAAAGAAGGAACTGAAATACAAAAAATAGATAAAAAGAGATGGATGACGGGGGCAACATTGGTGATGAAGAGTAGACAACAATAGGGCAATGAGGTGTGCCAATGTTGTTAGGTGTGATGGATTTCACTTACATACTATTTGAAAACGATAAACATTTATAATTCTTTTTGGGTAAAAAGATGTGATCCATTTCTAAAAATTCCATGTTTTATTTATTAAAGAAATTTAGTTTTATTTATTTAAAATAAAAAAATTCAGATATTTAATCATTTAAGATGGAAAAAAAATGAAACCATTCATTTTTGTATGTATGGTATTTTTAGTAGTAAAAATACTTTATTTTCCTATAAAAAAAAATCAAATCTGCTGCATTAGTTACAAGACTAGAAAATAATATTTAAAATTAAAATATGAGAAATAATATACCAAAGAAGTTACTAGAAAGATCTAGAAAGCAAATGCCGATATGACCAAAATTCCGACTTTGGTGGTTGCATTTACGGGCAATAACAATCATAAAGCTCTATCAATAAATTTATCAGAAACAAATGAAAACAATATATATACATTCATGAATATGTATATGAAACGATTACGACATCATTTCCCTAAATTCTTCAAAACTGAGGACACCGTCACCGTTCACATCAAACTTAGCGATCATCAACTTACAATCATCAAAGCTTCTCGACTCTCCCAATTTGCGAAGCATCCTTCTTAAGCTTTTCGGCGTTATACATCCGCTACCCTCCGTTTCTTCATACATCTTGAACGCCATTTTTAAATCGTTCACTTTTTCCTCTTCGTTTGCACCTTCCACTACGTTCACCAAATCCTCCAAGCTTAACAACCCGTCGCCATCTGAATCCATCATCGCCGCAGCCATCTCTGCCTCCTCCAATGACAAATCGTCACCAATGCAAATTTGAAGCTCTGACGGCGATATCTTCCCATCTCCATTTTTATCCAAATGTCTAAATACACGTATGTATTGTTGTTGTTTGTCCATCTCTATTTTTATCCCGATATAAACGATCAAGACCACAAATATATATATATATATATATATATATATTAGTTTATAGATATATGTATGTATGTATGTATGTATGTATATGTCTTAGAGAGACGAGTGTTTAACAAGTGAAATTGCATAGAAAATAGCATCTTTATATAACAACAATGTACGGCGTCCGCGTTTTGGCCACGGGGTTTGTTTTGACCAACATTTTAAAGTTTAAGGATGTAAGCGATTACGAATTTTCAAAGTCGGGGTGGAGGAAACATCTTGGAAACACACTCATCCAATAATATCATTATACTACCTTGCACTTCCAAAAATCTTCAAAATCCCCCCTCCTATTTCATGTGTGCACACCGTCATCAAACCAAAGTACAACTCTCTCTTGTATATTTAAAATTAAAAGACAACGTGGATAAATGATATTTAATAACCATTTGGTTTTTCTATAAATATAATTTAATAAAAAATTAGAGTTTTATTTTTACAATTATATTTTAAAGATTCATTTGTTTTTTTTTCTTCAAACAATTATACTAAAATATATAGTAAAATAAAGAGAAAAAATATATAAACAATTTATGAAATGATTTTTAAAACTTTAAAACGCTTTTTCTACACCTCAGATTGACTTGAATTTTCTTTTTTAGTATATTGTTGCTTTTAAAAGAATTTAAAAAAATATTGGTTTAAAATTTCAGTTTTTTTCATTTTGAAAAAGTTGTTGTAGATGCTTTAATAACTTATCTATCTAAATTAGAGAATAATGGAGAAAACTTTAAATACAGAGAATTCTCTAAAACTCTAAAAAAAAGAGGAAAGAGATATGAATTTTATTGTTTATCCCTTTAATGTTTATTTTTTAAAAAATTATTGAGAAAATAAAGTTATAGAGTATTTATATAATATAAATATTCTAAAATTGAAATTAATTGTAATCAAATTTTTTATTTAGAAAAATGGAAAAGGAAGCGACGTTATCAATTGTGAAAGTCGTAATTACAAATAATGAAATAGTGTCGTGTGGATTATGATGAAAATTTCAAGGAGGCGGTGGGGAGGGAAATTGGGAGGAAATTCGTAAAATGTAATGCCATCGTGACCACATATTACTGCTTTGCTTCTAATTAGTTAGTTAAACCACTTTTTTTCATTTTATTATTATTATTATGTTCAAGGAACCAAATAAATATACTCCAATTAAATTCTCATTTTTCTCTGTCTTATAAAATAAAAATAAAAAAAGTCATATTCGATGTGAATTATCTAAAATCTTTATTTAAAAATAAAAATAAAAATAAAAATGGATGGCTATTTAATATTTATTTTTATAAAAGTAATCCGCAACGACTCAAATGGAGGAACCGACTTTTAAAGGTCAACTTGATTGTGATTTTTGCAGGTACCATTTTAATCGAAATCCGTACATATCTCTATTTTTCTGCCATCATCTGTAACACGTAATCTATGACTCATCAATCAATTTGATTTATTATTTATTTCAAAAAAGAATATTTATTACGCCACGTTTAACTTTGATGATCATCACTTATTTCTTAAATTACAAGGATTTCATTATTTAAATTGATTTGTTAACACTCTCACGTTTCAAACAAATGTTTCTGTTTCTGTTTTTGTTTCTATTTATATTCATATAAAAATAAATATATATGTTTTCATAACTAGATTCTCATATCTACATTCAACTTCTTAAAAAGAATAAATTAATTAAGAGTAAAATTAATATAATAATTATACATCTCTAAAACTATGTTAATATATTTTTAGAATTATATTTATCAAAATCGAATTACAAATATAAATCAACGATTTTTACTTGTATTTAAATAATCTTTTTTAAGTATTGTTACTCAAGACCACAAACTTTAAACCAAGTTAATAAAAATAGGCAGAAACCCATCATTTTTTAATTACAAGTTAAGTGCATATTAAGTTACATTGTAAATACACTAAGATAATAGTTTCAACTATTAGGTGGTGTGTATTAATCCATACATACACACTCTATCTTGTAATTGTGCATGTTATTCATTTTTAACGAAAAGATGAGAGAGAAGATATAAAACGTCTGCAATACTCTTTATTTAAATCATTTGCTCAAATTACGAAAATTATAATGTTTTTAGGGTGCGTTTGATATAATAGAACTAAACAGTTATCCATGTTTCACATTTGGCAGGAATTTTATATAGAGCAGAGAAGAATAAAATGGAACAAAAATGGAAAAGGCATGTTGGAACATAGTCAAACAAGATGAAGCATATTTGTATTTTACCAATATAATCTCAAAATAGATTTAGTTTTCTTCTAAAATGTCTAATATGTCTACTTTTTATTTTTTGTTCATTCATTAAATTTTATTTATTGTACTTTATGTTTTTAAACTTTTATTTTCTTATCCTCAAAATATTTTTTTTATGTAGTATCTATGTGTTCATTAATTTATTATATAGTAATAATTAAAAAATGATGTAAACAAGATATAATAATTAATTAATTTACATAATTTATCAAATATTAATAATAAAAACATGATATAGCAATTATCAAAAAAATGGGATTGTGAAAAGAATTTATAATTTATTAAGGACAGAATATAGAGAGCTAAACTGATTCAGCCTAAACTAATAATTACTACTCGCTATTCATCCAGACCTCTCTAAGGAGTTGATACCTAACGGTATTGCGACTCCCGCCATCTTTCAAAGCCCAGATGGGCTTTGATGAAGCAGTTACGGTCCGAGAAGTGTCAATGATCGAAGTCAACGGTGAATCCAATTCATCGAGTTCATCATCACTTGTATTTGACTTTCGTAGGATCGAAGAACCACTGCGTGATAACCGAGTCCCGTTTCCATCGTCTCCTAAGATGCATCCAATTAAAGATGCAGAAGGCGGATGATATACGATAGGAGGTGCAGCACAAGGGAGCCCGATGATGCAATCTTCGCCACTCTCGAGTAAATCCTTAATCAAAAATATTAGGAAAAAACGCAAGTATATCAAATGTCGAATTGTATACTTGTTTTGTTCCACGATAATTCGGAAAATTTCCATGCTAGATTGAGATATCTATCTACGACTACACATAAGAGAATAAAAACATGATTTATTTAGCTCAACGGCCTTCTTCATAAGCTCGTTTTACAAAATGGTCCTCTAGTGTATTTCTAAGTTTTTAACTAGGGGCAAGGCTGTTTTAAATAAGGGGCAGATCAGATGAGAATGTCATGCTCCTGATTAAAATTTTATTTCAAGTCACTTATCCAAAGGACCTTTGACTTTATGATATATTTAAGAGTTCGGTAAAGAATGCTTCAAAAAGTTTTTCTCCTAAACACCTATGACTACTATCAACTTTTGGTGGTATACTTGGTTATTATAACTTTAAATGAGATTCTAATTAAATCCATAACCTTATGATGTTTTGTTAATACAGCCATTTTTTCTTCAATAGATCAAGAGGGTTATGGATTTAACTAAAATCTTATTTAAAGTTATATACTTAAACAACCCCAATTTGGTATAGGTCCGTTCAGGATGCAATTTGGAACATTTATGTAGCATCGAGCCTGGTGAGAAAGCCAGGAAAAGACCCAACAGGCATACAAACTCACTCTCTCGGGGCAGCAGAGGAAGGCAACATTTATTAGGAGGCGGCAATTCTTGGTCATTGAGATTCATGGTAATTAGGATTAATTTTATGGGTAAGCAAACTGCTTTAAGAGATCCATTGTTGCAAGACTAAGTAGAAAGATTTCACGTTAGTTGAGGATAGGAACAAAGGTTGCATTATAAGAGGCTTGATACCTCCTTTATCAAACGCGTTTTAAAACCGAGTTCAGGTGTGTGGACAAAAATGGACAGTATCTGCTAGGTTTAGCCTGGGATGTTATAGTTATAGATGGCATTGGAGCCAGGAACCGGACTGGTATAGCAAGGATGCTTGGGTCCCAAGGGGGCGGATTGTACCAAAATCCTACATTGGTTGGGGAAAGGAACAAAGGTTGCTTTATAAAGGCATCTCCAACAGCCTAAGCTATAATTTTCTAAAATAGATAATCAAAAGTTAAAATCTCTAAAGAATCAGGAGGAACTAACCTCTGAATCCAGGGCTTCAAGCACCACTTCAGGAATAGGGTCCGGGCAGAACTCATCCGGGACGAAGCTATCAAGAATCCTCTTTATTAGCGGTACACCAAAAGTAGGACACACCTTCAAAAAAAATTAAGACTTCTATTTAATCGATCAACGGGATATCAGGATTTTTAAAAGAACAATTTTGGTTTTTAAGAGTTAGAAACCTCTTTCCGGATCGTGTTGCTTAAGAGCATATCTTTTGGAAGCATCATGAGCTCACTCAGTGCATTCAGGAGATGAAAAGAGTTGAAGGATGTACCGTAGCTTTCTCTGTTTTCATCGTAGTCAGCTTCATTCTCATCTGTTAAAGAGTCATTGATCTCAATGCCAAATAGATCGGTGATCCATCTGGACCAGTTTCCGATCTGTGCTCGATCAATAGAACAAATATTATGGCTTTTAAAACATGACCTTATAAAATACTTGAAGTAGCGTTTCAATAGGCTCCGGGAGCTTTTTTCCAATTATGCCCATAGCGTTTTTCCAATTAATTTTTCAAGATGTCCTTTTAAGTCATTTCACATTGTCATCTAGCTTAAGAACTAGGTTATACCAAACATGACTAGTTTATCAGCTAGCTTATTAGCCAAACAACTATCTTATCAGCTAATTTGCCAAACATAGCCCAATACTATATGTAAGTTATTATATACCCACGACATGTGTCACATAGATATACTGCCAACGAGTATGTAAACCTATAAGGGTCGCACACAAAGAATACGTACGCTTCTATTATGAGAACCCGAATTAAATCATGTTGATTATTAAAACGATTATTTTTGTAGAATAATTATAAATATGTGTTAAAAGCGTAATTATGATAATTACGAGATTTTATGTGTAAATATAGATATTTATGTTTAAATAAATATATTTACGGATAATTATAAAAGCTTATTTGAGTTATAGTCTATCTATAATTCAATCAACCTAAAAATAAGGTGATAAGCCTAACTCTTTGATGATTCATTTTAGCTATCAGATAAAAACAGAAAAAATAATATATCATCTTTCTTTTCTGTTAAGAAACGCATATTTAGACGGGTTTTGGGCTAGCACCTAATAGAAGACACAAGCATATTCGTGTGTGGATCTTGATAGAAAAAATCTACATTGATTTCTAAGGTGCTCCTTTAGAACCCACGACGAATCTGAAAGGTAAATTTTCCAAACACCCTATGGTTTATTTAGATTTGTTTTAATAGTCATTAGATCCGGCTACAAGGTTTAATATTAGAAAAGTTTTCTAATAAAGTAACCTAAACTATTTTTCCGCTGCGTTTTAGTGGTTACAAAATTGTTTTAAAACCCTACACAATCAAACACATAAGTTGTTAAACATTGAGGTTTCATTCATTTATGCCATTTTTCTCCATAGTCGATTTTGTGAGTCTGTACTTTATCACTAAATGAGTCCCAACTTCACATATTCGTTTCATGCTATATAAATGAAATACACTAAATGAACAATGTTAAAATGGAGAAAGTGAATTGGACCTAAGGTTAAGATAACATTACTCACCGTCTTTTTCAGTTGTGCACCAGCTCCAAAGCTTGCTTTCCCTGACGGAATAGGTAGAACCCTGGCATCACTTATCGGGTCCGATAAAGGATCTGTTGGAACCTCATCAGCTGATTCCCGAAGAATGGCGTTAAACATGGCTACATCTAATCTACCCGTGCACTGCTTCATTATCTACAGTAAGGATAATATATAGTTTAGAAAGCACCTCTTAAACCAAACCAAACGAACCCAATATATCTAACCCAGACGTGGGGTTTGTTTCAGGTGAGGGGTAAGATGTAGCCAGACCTTAACCTCAAAAGAGTAGAGCGGTTGTTTCCATAAGGGTGCGTTTGGTGTCCAAACTGGATAGGACAGCACAGAACAGAACAGGAAAGAACTGTTGTTCAGCGTTTGGTAAGACATAAGTGGACAGAATAGAAAAGTAAAATGACCAATTTACCCCTAATGAGTTTTTTATATATTTTGATTAATTTATTCTTTACAACAAAATATATCATTGGTAAGTTTTCGTCAAACCACTTTATATTATCCCTGATCTACAATATTTTTTATTATTAAATATACGATAAAGTACATAGATTAATGAAAATATAGAAACCGTATAAATATCATATTTTTTAGGACGGTAAATGAAAGTTTAAAAAGCATAAAATACAATAAATAAAATTTAAAGAATGAATATAATGTAAAAAAGGGACCTATTTATTTTGATGTTATATTAGTAAAATATAAGTTTATTCCAGCCAGTTCCCTGGGGTAGCGGTGGAACAAGTCTGTTCCACTTTGTTCCTGTTTGTTCCACATAAAAGTCTTGTCAAACGTGCAACAGGGATCCTGTTCTATTATGTCATGTCCTGTCCAATGTACCAAACACACCCTAAAGACTCCGACTAGTAAAAAGTGTGTGAGAGAGAGAAAGGCATGTCCACAAAGCATAGTAAAAATACGTAACCGATGTGGATAGCATACGCAAGCAACCACAATCATGTCCTGCAGCTCGAACAGGGCAAATTCTTTCACAGACTTCCACGAAAGCCGTCTTCCAAAGCTCCAAGGAGGAGTTCACTTGCTCGTGATCATATGAAGCAGGTGATGTTTTACAAGATTTATTAGATTTTGAATCTACAACTCTTCTAAGGATACCCTTTGCAGCGGTGGTTTGCATATAAGGAGCAAGAGTCTGAAAGATATAAGACGAGATTAGACACCTAAGGGATCGTAAAAATCTGAGCACTGGAAAAGAATGTGATTGTGGGAAAACCTGCCACCAGATGGACTCGATAATGAGCGAGAAGATCCAAGATTCGATTTTTTCCAAGATAGAAGTAACCATACAAGGGTCCTCCCATTCATTAGAAGTTGCAGGTAGACCAATTCTAATCTCTTTTAAAGAAGAGTCTTTCTTCCATTTGAATGGAGATATGATCTCGTTCTTTCCCTTCTCGGAGATCCCAGCATTCGTTTTACTAGATTGTCGGGCAGAAACTGATGCTTGCTCTTTCTCAAAAGTTTTGTGTATTATTGCTCTTAGTACAACGGAATTTGACAACCAGAAAGTCAACCTGTGTTCAAAAAGAAAGAAAGGACCAATTAAATAATTTTGGCCATGTTTGGCAACCGTAAGCTAGCCTATTTATGAGCTTATTGAAAAATTCCTATTTGGTTATAACCAAAGGGCCTGTGGCCCAGCAGGTATCATAGTGGTTGGTTTGTGAGTTTATTTGTTGCATTTACTGAATATAAATATTATATACTTCCAAAAAAAAAAACTAATTTAGAAGCTAGATTTTTGAAAAACTACTTCAAGTAGCATTACAATGACCTTCAGGGGTTTTTTGCATTTTTCCCATTATGCCCCTATGTATTTTCCCAATTAATTTTTCATCATCCATTTAGGTCATTTTACATTTTCACCTAGTTTTTACCATGACTAAGTCATCAACTAACAGTTAGTTTTTCAGCTGATTTTACCTTGGAACGTCATTTCCACAAGCTTTTGCGACCAAAATCAATCCCGACACAATACTTCTTGCTGAAGTTGCTCTCCTGGACTGAAAGTTCTCATTGCATGCATGAAGGTACAATCTAGAAAGACGCCGTGCTGGGGCATGGACTTTATTAACAGAACTCCCATGCTCTGCAACTACCGAGTAAAGACTAACCTCAATAGCCGCAGCTTCTCTCAGCTCGCCTTCAAGAAATCGTATCCTCTGTTCCAAGTGTTGTACCTTGTTTACATCTTGACCTCCGTTCTGGCCAGGAACACCAACCTTTTTGAATTTCTCTAAGACTTTGTCACTCCTTACGGATCCTTTGCTAAAATCTGAATCCAATGAAGCGCCAACAGGCTTCAAATTCTTTAATCTATCAAGTAAAACATCTGATCCGTTGCTAAAACCTGAATTCAATGAAGAACTAACAGACTTCAAATTCTTTAATCTATCAAGTAAAACATCCGATCCATTTCTAAAACCTGAATCCAACGAAGAACTAATAGATTTCACATTCTTTAATCTATCAGCATGAAAAACATCTGATCCAAGATCTCCCATGATTTGACTTCCTTGTCCCGTTTGACTTGCATCCGGGTTTTTTAACTGTATACAAGATTGTTCATCGTCCACTCCACACAGTTGAGATTCCATGGATTTGATGTCATTCTTACCAATAATGGCCCTTTCTGGAACTTTCTCATGCAGATTGACATAGGGGTCGTTTCTAGAGTTTCCGTTCAACCATCCATTTGTTCCATTATTAGTAATAGACGACTTTGATAGTTTCAAACTATAAGATTCAGCCTTTTCTGGTAGCATTGTGAATCTTGAGTTACGTAGATTAGATAGAGTGGTACGAGCATTTTCTACTTCAGAATATAAATCTCTTGATGATAAGATGCGTGAGCTTCCCTCCAATGAAGCATGTGCTTCATAAAAGGAGGATTCAGCGACCCTTTTATCTTGAACTAAGACTTCTTGATCATTAACCTTCCCACATCTTCCAGATATCGCCTCTGATCCGTTCTGCAATCAGCTGCCACCAGGTTAATGAAGAATTAAAACCAACAAGCTTATACGCCTGTCTAGGAGAAAGGGTTAGTGAGTCGGTAGTTAAGTTACTAGAAACCTAAGGGGTTGTTTGGTTGGTTTCCATTAAGTCCTGATGTCTATGTGGATTAATATGTCTGTATAAATTTGGGAAGTTTTTGTTAGGGAGAGTTTTTCATAGATGGAAGGAGTGTGTTTTTTAATTGGGACGAGCAGGTTTGGAAAAAACTTGTCTTTCTGCATAAAGCTCCCTCCTAGAAGCTTATTGAACAAGCCACTTTGTATATCATTAAGCCCTATCATACACTCATGTGTAGATGATCAAATAATTTGCGTGTCTTGTTACGCTCGTTAAGATGCTAACAAGCAGGCCCTAAGTTAGACTAGAAGGTGTGTAAATGTTTTTCCTGTACCTGTTTCTGTTTATATTGTTATTGATTCTTCATATATGGTTTCTCAAAATTTAGCATATATGTCTTTCTCTCTCTCTCTCTCTCTCTCTCTCTCTATATATATATCTATATATATATATATATATATATATATATTGTATTGTTATTGTTTACTCATTGTTAGAATCCGACAACGGCTAGACTTGGAATATTTATCCCCATATATGTTGGAACTTCCCTTCTTTCCTTAAGGGTTCTTTTGGAGAGGAAATATGGGGGTTCCACATATTCTCACATGGTATCAGGGCAAAGGTCTACCACTCTAGGGACAAAACACCCAGGGGCAATTTGTACTCGCTAGGCCCTCCACCCGTCAAACCCCCTCAGCACTATGGGACAATCTCTTCCCGTTTAGTCGCACATCGGCTAGACTTGAACTATTTATCCCCATATATATGTTGGAACTTCCCTTCTCTCCTTAGGGGCTCTTTTGGAAAGTAAATACGGGGGTTCCACATTCTCACACTCATTACTCATATCTAGCTTTTCAAATCTTAGCATATATGTATTTCTCCCTTTCACACATTTTTCACTACCCGAGGGTCTTCACGGAAACAGCCACTCTACTCTTCAGGGTACAGATCAAGTCAGCGTGCACCCGCAACCCCCCCCAACCACCAACGTGTGGGATATACTGGGCAGGTGTCGTTTGTAAGCTTATAAGATTGGTTAGCTGCATATAGAAAAAATAAAAGAGAAAGCAAATACAAGTACCTCTCTTTGAGGACTTAAATTTCCATTGGATCCAATGGTTGAAGAAGCAGCAGCCATGGAAGACTGAGAAGAATTATCATCATTGGTAATGGAGGCAGTCTCGGCTTCCTCAGCATACTCTTCATTCATCAAAGCAGAAACAGACTCAGAGTGGTTCTTGTCCAATGATCCTTCTCTGATTAAACTATCAATGGATGAAGACCTCATACGATTACTTCTCTCAGAAGTCTGCATTTCAAGGAAGAGCATAGGTTGAGCAGTATTACCAAAAGTCCGCTTGCAAGTCATAGGCACACTGATCATCAAACTCTCTTTCACAATACCATACTCTGCAAAATCTATGGTTGCAGTAGCCAACAACTGCCCTTTTACCGTTTTGTCCCTTCGAGGTTCATACAAATTAAACTCTATACAGTTCCTTTGGAAAGTTTCAATATCTCCGGCCTTAGTTGACATATCCCTTGATAATGTCACACAAAGCCTAAAAGATTCATTGAATTCAATTTTACCATCACCAACACTCAAACCAGAAACGATTGAAGGAGCAACTGCTTTAGTAGACCCTGAAATCTTGTCACCATATACCCATTGTATCAATGCAGATCGAAGTGATCTCAATGACTGAGATGGAGGCCATGGCTTAATCTCTACAAGATTGATAAGATAATCAAGTTGGACATACAGGCTCCTCCGGTTTTTTGTCTTCAATCCCAGTAACATTTTTCTTTGACGAATCTTTCTATTGAAAAGTTGTTGTCAATGCCTTCAATTGCTATGGACTCACAAGAAACAGGTAAAGAGAATGAGCTACACATAAAATAATATGCAATCGAAAAGGATTACAAGAAAGATTCTCAGTTCTTTGACAATGGGAAGAAATCAAGCTTCGCCGGAAATAGGAAAAAACTTAAAAAGCAAAATGCAACAAAGTTTGGTTTAGCTTCTATTTAGTATAAGGTATAATTAACTTTTTCTCAATTGATGTAACAAAATTTCCTATTTTGCACCCATTTTCAACAGTAAGCTGTTGATGTTGTAACATTTGAGGCTATGGATATCCGTTTAAGCAAGTTATACAAAATACTTACGAAAGGGTTACGGTGAACAAAGATGATAAACTTGATATCCACTCATCAAATGTTGCAACATTTTCCGGTAAAAAAATAAAAATAAAAATTATGAAACATAGTTACATAAAAAATGAAAAAAGTTCCTTGCTACACTAAATAGGAAGGAACCAAATTTCGTTGCATTTGACCCGAAACTCAATTTCACAGGCCAACACACTTCATCCATCAAAACTCATGTTTCTGCATTAATTTATATTGACTAAAGCTTTCCCGCATTATCAATCAAGAAGGGGGTTAAGCAATTAGACCGATGAATGCATAAAACCCAAACAGAAAAAGGTCAAAATGAGATATAGAAGTTCCAACGATCGTAGAGAGTGATCGAACTGTAATGTGATTAACTGAACTTACCCCAAATTTACAGAAACACTTACAAATTAACAGTTGATAACTACAGTAGATTGAATTAGGGCAAAAGCGATAAATATAGTACCAACAATTGCTCACTCAATCGCAAGAACATAAACCACAGTAAACACATCACAATGCCATCATCAAATACAAAAAATCAAAGTAAAAATAACTAGAAATAGAAGAATCGGCGATAGAGAGAAGGAAGCTCATTGATCGAAGGAAGACTTACATGGAATTAAGCGTCCAGAAATGGGTGAAATGTGGACAAAAGGTAAAGGTTGTTTTCGTGCATGTGAGATGCTTGGTTACCAACGCAGACCAACGGGGGCGTTTTTCTGAACTTCGATATTTTTATTCAAACGGGAAAAAGAATATTTTTCACTTTCAGTCCCTTGGGTTTTATGATTGTCTTTCTAAGTACCTTTAAATTTAAAAGTGAATAACATTTGAGAATGCAAGCCGCTTTGAATTGATTTTTATTTGTGTAACGTACTTTTAAAACCTTCATAAATTTTGGAGATTAAAAAACAGATACATGAATGTATGAGATGTTAATTACAAAAAGAAAGGTTTGTAAAATACATTATAAAATATGAATTAGAGTAGAACTGTTTTTTTACGCTTTTCCCGATTCCCGGCTCTCCTAGGGTTCCTACTAGGAGAAAAAAATATCGATTAATTCTAATTCTTTTTTTCTCTTGATTCCTTTCCGTTCGAGATGTATCAAAGGACATCATGCGTTGACGGGTGGCGAGTTCCCATGTTGACTTATGAATTCCATTGGACCCCTAAATAATACATTAGATAATCATCCTACTTTTCATGCAATATGCACTTTTCATGAAATTGGCAATTAAATAATCCATTTCACCCTGATAAAAAAAAACAATAATTTTCATTGGACTTCTTGAAAATTGTAATGTTTTTGTTTTGTATGAGATTTTAATTTAAGTTTACTTGTTTGTAAATTAATAATTATCAGAAAAATCTTGTCGGTGTTGATTTTACATGTAGTTTTAGTGTAAAATCATGTTTAAATTTAGTCGTCTTCTTATTCTTTTATTTTATTTTTCTATTGTTTTCATATGAAGTTGAAACTAAAAGAAATCTTGATTTTTTTTCCCCTTTAAATGATGGAGAAATGATCATACATGAAAGAGTAATGATTAACATGAGAGTGAGAGGGCACGAATATGACTATGCTGCCAAATTAAAAGGAGTAAATTGTATAATTGTACAACAATGAGGGGGGTAATGAGTAGTTGAAGAATATTGGGTTATGAATATTATTGAGTAGTTGTAGTCGCGAGTCCGGAAGGTGTAAAGCACGCTCCAATAACTGTTAAGACGCAGTTGCCCGCGTACCCAGAAGTGTAAAAGAGAGTGGATGCCAGCTTTTTATTTACGGTGATAGAGCGGATGGGATTCATAAAATAAAATACAAAGTGAGCTCCCGTTGCCGTTAGCGACGTATTCAAACGAATAAACGTTATCATTTTAATATTAAATTATAACAAAAACGACAACCGAATAGCATTCGAAGGAAATGCAGTTGTCAACGAATATGGTTATCGCAATAACTTAGCTTCCACATATTATTCACACACAAAAAAGTTCAATTTTTTTAATAAAAAAAGTTACATTCATCATTAAAATATTTCTTATTTTAAAAAAAATCAACATTGATTATAATATTCAAATATTTCATTCATCTATTAAAATAATTATATTCAAAAATTTCCTATTGATAAAAATTTATTTCTCTCACATCGTAATTATTTTTGGAGTAATCTCTATATTTAAAACTTTCTTCATTTTAGGATACTCCAAGAGTTTAATTTTAATTCAAAATCTTCATTTTTCTATTTCTTTATTTTAGAGAATTTGTTAGAGATGCTCTTAAAGATATGTATTATGTGAACAATCATTTGAGTCTCTCAAACTACAAAGTGTTATTCACAATTCTTTTTAAGGAGTCGACTCCTTGTGGGCACTGAGTTTTTAAATCAATGTGTAAAGAAACACAATTCTTGCGTTTTATTGGGTTTGGGATGAGGCTTGAAAAATCTGTTTCCAATAAGCAAAATGAAGTCCGGCTTTTTCTAGGTTCAGGTTGATTGGGTATGGTTGTGGGGCTGAAAAGGGGTCTAATTGGGCCTTTTTCAAGTTCTTTTTTGGAATTTTACAAACCAAACTTTTTTAGAACATGCTTGCCTCCCAAAATATTTGACCTAGTCGGGCTTTGAAGACGGGCTTTAGACTATTCTAGGTCGGGTTTCAAGCTTAGTTTTTTATCGTACATATCTATAACTGTGTATGATTTGTTTCTTATGTAATGCTCTTAAGGTGAGAAAATGTGAGTGTTGCTGACTGAAAAGCTTTCCTTTTAATCGTTTCCTTTTTAGAACTCAATACACAATATTGTTGTTAAATATCACATCGTCCTTACGAGCCAACTCATCCATAATGCACATGGACCAATTATACTCCAAAAATTCATGATTGAGGGATCAATTCCCATTTGAGAGTCTGCGACAAACCATCGTGGCTATTGAATTTATCAAGATTATTTTCTTACAGTCACAAGTTACCAGGATTAATTCAGACATAACATGTAACATTAAATAACTGACTCACGTATGATTTCTAGTTCATTTAAACGATCAAAGTGTACCGATGTAAAAATATTATGATTGTGATTTTTATTTTATAAAGTACAAGTCTATAATGCATCTGCATTTATAATAACATTTGAATAATAAAATTGCGGTGGACTCATTTTAATGTTAGTTTTCCAACGTAGATTAGAATAATTTATAGTATTAAATTAGCATTTAATACATTTGAAAAAATAAATAATAAAATGTTATTGGGCTCCCTATAATGGTTCTATTATTTTGTGCCAATTTTAGGCCCATCCATTGGGCTTTGAATCTCACAAAATGGGCAATTCTTAGACCAATCTTAATTTCTTTATACCAATCCCATACCTCAATCAATTTGGAATACAAAGGGTAAAAAAATGGGTCCTGACCCTAAATACTATTTTCGTTGTAACCGGTCCCAGTCCCAGTCCCGGTGTCGACTTCAGACCAAAACCTGAAGGCCTAGTTAAGCTTCCTCGTAACCGATTATGAGAATCGGTTTTGGTTCTAGTTCTGGTCCTAGGTCAGGCCCAAACCGGTCCTAATTTTTTTTATTTCGATTTTTTACATATAATTTTTTTGAATTTTTTAAAATTGTATAAAAATGTTATTCTAATACACTTAAAAATATGTAATTGAGTCAATCAAATACATTTAAAAGGGAAGAGAAAAGAAGATGATAAGCAGGAGTTGTTAAAAAACGAAATTGAATACGAGTTGAGATCACAAATTATAGCGAGAATGGTGATCGTTTTTTTGCGTTTGTTAGTTGGTATCTTCCCCCATATACCATATGGCTTGTATGTAGGACAAGTGGAACCCAAAAAAGGTCAAAAATGGAGGGAAAAACGATCATATGAACGTTGGATAACAACTATGAAACGGCTAATTTTTGAAAAAATTGGGTCGGTCCCTCTTTGGGCCCATAACTGATCCCGATTCGGGACAGGCTTTGTTTTTCGAAGAAAATTGCAGCCGGTTCTTAACTGGCGGTCCCAAACCGGTCTCACTTGGTCTCGGTCCTCCACCGTCCCGAACCGGACCCATTTTGAAATGGTGATCTCAAGCTTCGCCAAACTAATCATATAACAAGCCGTGAATGTATGCTTTTGTCTACAGCCCTAAAGTTAAGCTCTTGGTGACACCAAACGTATATACAGATGGCAGGATTTAAGCTCAAATTGATTTTATCTTCTTTTTGTCTTTATTCATTGTGTTACCACTCTTGTGATTAAAAGATTTATATAAAAATATCAAGTATGTAAACTTAAAATATTCATAAAAAAACAAGTAAAATGGTTTTAAAACATGTTAAGTGTTCACAACTTTTATATCAACAAATCAAATCATTATTTTAGTAACAATGTTCATGTATCTGTATTTCACAATTCAGCAAAGCGGACCATCGTTTTGAAATCGAACCAACTAAACATGTTTTAAAATGGTCTATGCTTGTTATACAGTCCATTCATTTTACAGCCTGTCAATATTTTAAAAACCAGTTATAATAAACTTTGAAACCAGATAAATTAATAAAATTTGTATTTGGTTTAACCAGTTACTATGAAGTATTAATAAAGTGAAATGGGGA